CCAATCACTTGGAGTGGTAAAACCTTGGTGAAGGTTGCCTCATTTGTATAAAATAGTTCTTAATTGGGTGAGTGATCTTTCAAGTGTAGGTTGTTGAGGGTTAACTAGAATAGTTGTAAAACTCCTTGGCTCAACCAAAGAGTATTTGGGGTGAGGAAGGAGTGAGCCTTCACTTGTACATCTTGGTTAGCATCGCCATCAATTGAAGAGGCTATTGGTTTGATATTTGGTTTGCATTTCTTATCTTTTCTCTTTAATTAAGTTTTCTTTATTGTGCTTAAATTTGATATATCTTTGTGCATCATTGTGAATTTGTTTGTACTCATTGGGTTGCACCGGGCTCTTACAATTCTAGGATAAATCATTTGCATGAAATAGTAACTAAAACAAAAAAGTAAGAAATTTATTTTTGGATAATATCTAAGTGTAAATGAGCAATGCAAGTGAGTATATGTAACGGCATAGTAAGTTAAATATCGTAACGAGTTCCTCTATCCTTCATCGAATCTTCATTAAATCATTTGCATGAAATTTTTACCTTAAATGCAAAGTAAAAAATTTTGTTCTTGGATAATATCTAAGCGCAAGTGAGCAATACAAACGAGTATATATGTAATGACATAGTAAGTTAGGTATTATTTAAAAATTTTAACAAGTTCCCCTATCCTTAATCAAACCTTCGTTAAATCACTTGCATGAAATTTTATCTAAATTAAAAAGTGAGAAAATTTGTTCTTGGCTAATATCTAAATGCAAGTGAGCATTACAAGTGAGTATATGCAACAACATAACAAGTTGAGTATTATTTAAATATGTTATTAGTTCCCCAATCTTTCATCAAATCTTCATTAAATCATTTGCATGAAATTTCTTCTAAAATAAAAGGTAAGAAAATTATTCTTGGATAATATCTAAGTGCAAGTGAGCATTTGCATGAAAACTAAAATAAAAGCAAGAAAATTTGTTCTTGGATAATATCTGAGAGCCAGTAAGGACTTCACTGAGTATATGTAGGGACATAGTAAGTTAGGTATTATTTCAGTATCTTAATGATTTCTCCTATGCTTCATCAAATCTTCATTAAATCATTTGCATGAAATTTTATCCAAAATAAAGGTAAGAAAATATATTCTTGGATAATATCTTTTTGAAAGTTAGCATTACAAATGAATATATCTAATGACATAGTAAGTTAGGTGTTATTTAGATAGCTTAATGAGTTCCCTTGTCCTTTGTCAAATTTTTGTTAAATGATTTGCATGGAATTTTATCTAAAATAAAAAGTAAGAAAATTTATTCTTGGATAAAAAGTATGAGCTAGTAAGATAATTGCTTGATAAAAAGAAAAATATACCAAAAAATAATTAGGTAACGTGCAAAATAGTCCACTAGGTTACAAATTAGTAATAGTTTAATGGTGGAAATTTGAGGTGCAAGTTACGAATTAGTAATAGTTTAATGGTATATATTTTGCAATTAACCCAAACAATAATTGCTTGATAGTCCGGGCTGATACCACTCAAATTTTTGGCTGAAAAGTGGGGCGGGACAGGTGTGATGCATGAACAAAAATTTAACACCTTTCACCCAGCCATTTGTAATCACCCGCCCTCGATCCGGATTAATGACCTGTGACTCATTTTAGCACTAAATCTATATCTATATATATATTAGAGAATAGATTTTTTGGTAGAGCCTCCACAAATATCAGAAATCTAAATCCCATTTTACTACAATTTTAGATTTATTTTAATTCGATCATCCTTATTGCTTCTTCTTATCCCATCCCACTTTCTAATTTATGAGATCCACTAACCATAAAATCAAAACTCTAAAATTTTAATTAAGGAACAATATCCATCGCTGCAAAATCTCATCTGCAAATCCCAAATCACATCTAACAGTTACCACATGACGATAGTAATAACTCACTGATAATTTAAGAAACTCACCATTATGACAATTCACATATCCAAAATTTAGCAGCCTGTTTAAATAACAATTTCCACAATTCAACATATCTTATTGTCATAACATAGAAGGATGAAATTTAACAAAAATTTTAAAAAATGAAAATTAAAGAATAGGAAAAACAACATTAAATATGCCTTTGCCAAAAATAGAATCTGAGGAATAATATGATTAGTCCTATTTTTTAATCATTTACATAGTAATATTTGTAGCACTTTCCTTCCTGGTATATACATACATTTGTCAAATATTCAAATGACATATTCAATTATAAACATTCCTTAACCATTTAACCTATAGCAACAACATCAATTTTTTTAGCCGTAAACTTATCATATTAAACAATTATTCCAACCAATGAAATAAATATTCTGACACACAAGTCACCTAGATAATTTTTCACGTGCACAAATTCTGTCAGGATAATTTTTCATATAACACATATATCAAAAATTGCACATAAAACAAAATTTTTATATGAATTTTGAATTAATAAAAGGGCATTTAGATGGTTTTTTTGGAGTTTTTATTAAAAAATTTTAAAAAATATTGTTTGAACAATTATCTTGGGTGGTCGCTACAAAAATAGTTGTATTTCACCAAATTTATACCCAATTACTTTTCTCGACGACTATAATTCTAACTTTTTATTTGAAAAAAAAAAACTTGAAAAGTGAGATAACAAATTCTAAATAATAAAAAGGAATAGAAAGATAGACGTTTAGCATTGGGAAGGGTAAAAGTAAGGTAACAAATCTTAAATAGTAAAAGGAGTATAAAGATAGAAGTATAGGGTTGGAGAGGGTCGACAATCACTAACCTCTATTTATTTGTCGTCCACGCAAACCAAATACAATGAGAAAAAAAAGACTACATATCATGCGCAAAGACTACATATATTCTTTGAGAGGAACGTCTGCCCATCTCTCTTTCTTTGGCTTCCTCTCTAACACAGCCTACGTACCCGATCCACACCATCTTTTTCTCTGTGAAATTAATTGGGTGATTGGCAGTGAAGCTTTGATCAGAATTGAGAGATGGGATATTTAAGATGAACGCATAAATGCTTCAGCAATGCTTGTAGCTACCAGCTGCCAGGAAGGCAGCTACTACTTCTTCTTCATTTACTCCTGAAAATTTGAGGGTTTTCTGAATTTGATATCTTAATTGTCCTTCTTGCAAGTGTTTTGCTCAATGAGTTGCAAGTGTTTTGCTCATTTAGAAATTGGAATAACTCTAGTGGTGGATATTAGAATAATTGGGAGGCACCAGATATGTGTTTTGGTGAAACATTTGGGATCATTTTGGTGGATGGAATAAAAATCGGCGGCAAAAATTTTATTTCCCAATTCAAAAATTAATCTCATGAACGCCAAGCCTTAAAAAAGATTCTCAAGATTCTCTCCTTGGAAGACGCCAACGTGCTGAAGGACAATGTTGGATGGCTAACAACATCAAATCCAATGGGCCAAATTATGGCTGGGTATCGTAAATGAAACGTACGCTGGGCCGGCTGCCTTCCAATAATTCACAAAGGAGTGGTCCAAAAATTCGTCTGAATACCATGGACTGGTCCCAAAATTCTAAGGAAGGTTAGGTTTGTTTGGATGTCATTTCATTAACATATATAGTAAATGTGTGAATGCAATTGCCCAAATTGAACCCAATTGCTGACGTGGCACTCTCCCATTGGTTGATTGGTGGTAGTCTTCCAATTGATTCCAATTTGATGAGTTGTCATCCTCTAATTCGCTGATTGGTGGTAGTCCTCCCAATTGCATATGAAGATGGTGATGTGGCGAGTTTTGATTGGAATGTGTGAATGCAATTGCCCAAATTGAACCCAATTGCTGACGTGGCGCTCTCCCATTGGTTGATTGGTGGTAGTCCTCCAATTGATTCCAATTTGATGAGTTGTCATCCTCTGATTCGCTGATTGGTGGTAGTCCTCCCAATTGCATATGAAGATGGTGATGTGGCGAGTTTTGATTGGATGAAAAGTGGTAGTCCTCTAATTGCATGTAGGATTGTGCTAAAATTTTGCTTCTTTCTTTTTTTATCCAACAAATCACATTAACAAAAATTTTGGATTCCTTTTTTTTTGTTGTCCATCAAATCACATCTAATTACCAATTTTTTGCAATTAATTGTTAATAACTAATTTAATGTCCTATTTTTTGTCATTCAACATATCACGTTTAATTAACAATTTTTTTGCAATTAGTAGCAAAAAATTGACTTCTTTTTTGTGGTTGCCCAAAAAACCACCTTTAATTATCAAATTTTTTTTCTGGCTGTCCAACAAATCACATCTAATTACCAAATTTTTGCAATTAATTGTTAATAACTAATTAATAATGTCAAGTTTTTGGTCACCCAACAAATCATGTTTAATAACAGTTGTTTGGAATTATTAAAAAATTGGCTTCTTTTTTTGTGGTTGCACAAAAAATGCATTTAATTATAAATTTTTTTTCAAATGTCATAAAAAATGTCCTCTTTTATTTTGGGTTGTACAACAAATTATATTTAATTATCAATTTTTTGCAATTAATTGTTAATTAATTAATTAATTAGCAATTTCACTTTCTATTGCCTAATAAATAACATTTAATTGCTAGCTTTTTGCAATTATTAACACTTTTTTTCTGTTGCTAAATGAACCACATCTAATTACCAACTTTTGCAATCAATTGATAATTTTTTTTTGGAAGTGAATTGTCACTTTTTATTGCCTAGCAAATAACATTTAATTACTAGCTTTTTGCAATTATTACCACTTTTTTTGGTTGCCAAATAAATCCCAATTATTTGTCAACTTTTTTGCAATTAATTGTTGATCTACTTATTACCTTTGGAAGTCTTTTATATTGAAGAACTTTTTACCTTTGGAACTTTTTTTTGCATATGGTTTGAGGATTTATGGGTTTTTTGCCCTTTTTACTTTTGATCAATCAAACGGCATCGTATGCTGATGGATCTTCAATCCTTTTTCTTCCGCTTTTCTCTCTCTCTCAGTCAAACGCACAACTATCAGTCAGGGTCAAGAACTCTTGAAGACCGATCCGTATTGCTGTTATCCTCCAGACAAAATTCCATCTTCGTGAGACCCATAGTTCTCCCCTGAATTTCTGGCATTTGATTGTACTTGAAACAGGTTGTAATCTCAATTGGGGTCCAAATTTTTTTTCTTCTGACAGAGTTGATGGACGATGGGCTCAAGAATGCAAAGCGACTGGTAATCTTCCTCTCCTCCCTTTGTCGATTTCTCCCTCCTGTTCTCCTTCATCTCCCTCTCTCCATACCTCAAGTAATTATAGCTGATTTTTTCTATTTCTCTGCCATTTTGCCTGATATTTCCTTGGCTAAAAACAATCAATTCTTCCCCCTTCTTTTTTTTTTTATCCTTTTCTGAAACAACGAGGAAGTGAAAGGTTAATATTTCATCTCCACTGTCTATATGAATTTGTAGAATACAGATATGGTATTTTTCTTCACCTTTCTTTCCATGATTAACGTCTTTGTTTCGTTTCAGTTTTATCATTAAATTTTTATTTTTAGTTTCAACAAAAACCTTTTAATATGGTCGGAGATGGTGAATAATTGATGATTAGCTGGCTTGTAGATATTTATTTACTTTATTTTTTGTACCTACTTGGTGTTTTATTGTTCCATTTTTCTTTCCGTTTTTGCCTTTCTTGGATTTCTTCTGCAACAGGGAGGAAAATTGGCCACCCGTGAAAGACAACTGCTGAGGGGAAAAACGTAAGCTTTGTCCTATCATTCTAATTTAATTTTTACTTTAAATTGCTTTTTTCAGAGCTCAAATGATGGTATACTTTTCTTTGGCCTTTGGTCTTTTCAAACCTTGTTTGAGTTTTCTTTTTAGTCATTTTTTTGGTGTCTTTCGTGCAAGTGTTTTGTTGATCTCTTGCTCAGAAAAGAAATCCATATGGTAACAAAAAAGATTCACTTGTTTAAAATAGATTTCTTCATCTTCAAAATGTCTTTCTATTTGCTCCAGTTCTTCCGATTCCTTTTTCTTCATTGGGTTTTCAACATTTGAAGAATGAATAAATTTCGTCTCTGAGAATCAGGAACTTCCAGGTCACATTGGTCATTGGCCAAAACTTTGAGTTACAAAAGATCGTGTGATGCTATTCTTTTGATTGCTTTGTGTTGAAATTTTTTGTTTTAGTACATAAATTGTCTCTTGGTAAAACCTCTTGAATATTCGTTTTATGAACCTTAAGTGGATATTAAACTGAGTATCTTGAGCAATATATTTTTTTGTTACAATGGCAATCTAAATGGTTTTCCTATTTGTAGGTGGTTAAAGGTTTGTCCAAGACGAGGATTCTCAAATATTATATTCTAAGCACCTGCTTGAAATAATAAGTTACGGTTTTAATAAAACACCTTAAATTTTCTATTCCTTGATCAAAAAAAGAATTAAATTGCTACATAATTGTAGTTTTGCCTCTTGAATCATGGACTACGATGTTTAATAGCTTGGAAATTCTTATTAGGAAAATCAGTTTTGGTTGACTTAAGTCTATATTTACAAAACATTATTTTCTCTTAGATTTGTAACATTTCAGTAAGATTAAGTCTGGAAAACTGAACCTTATGATAGTTTTTTTACTTGTAAAAATGAACTTAATTGAGATAAGCCTAAACAGAAAATTTTGTGACAAACATGAAGACGGTATTCCAATTGATAGGTTAAAAAAGGTGAATGTGATGCAGACCTTCAATTTATGTTGAAGTTTTTTATGCAGGAAAGAACTTAAAGGAAGGGCATGTTACTTTTGAAGAAAATTTGGTAGAACTCCTAATTTGTTTTAACTGGATGGATAATTTGTACTAAATATAACACATTTAGATGTTCAAATATGAGGACAAGATGCCTCTACTTTGAGATAAATGGCATGCAATTCTTCCTAGAATTTGAGAATACAATCACTTCTTTGACACATCCAACTATTTTTGGAGAGGTGTTTTGGAGTCATCTTACCTCAGATTTTTTATGAGAAAAATTGACAGAAAGACCTCAGAGCCATCTCTCTCCTATCTTTTGTGTAAAAAAAAAATTTCTCCCATCTCCTTTCTGTGCAAAAAGTTATTGTTTTCCTCTTTGCTGGCGAGTTAAAGTACTGGGAGTTACAAAACCAGAGGCCTTCCCTCAAATTCCTGTATCTGCAATAGAGGAGTTTGGCTCAATGCTAGCAAGACTAATCAATTCCCATCAAATAATTTTCCATATCTCAATCCTCTCCAACTCAAAGTTTCTATTTGAAAAGTCCATTCTGTTCTTATCTTCCTTTCTTTCTCTCTGAAAACTGCTGGCTTCTCCACTCTTGTTCTATGTATACTTTTTTCTCTTGATTAAATTTTATTTTATTCTCTAATAAGTTTTATATGTTTGCTACGGGTTGAGGAATAGGGATTTGATACCAAGTATGAATGATTGGAATTTCTTTGCTCAAGTAAATACTTTTAGGATCTCTGTTTTTCTTTTTTTTTTTTCTTTCGTTTTACCCGAAGTCAATTGTAATCTTCTCCTATCTTTACTCCTCTTTGATAGATGTTCAAGAAATGGACTATGGAGAGGACACTCTACCTCTTATTGAAGTATTTCCTAAACTTCCAGTGTAAGTCATGATTAAGAGGTTGTCAAGTCTTTTTAAGCAACTACATTCAGTAATTATCCTTACTTAAGATCCAATATTTTATGCTTTCGCTTTTTTGCATTGAAACTTGTGATTATTTCCTTAGATGAAATGGTTTAATTTCTTTCTTTTTTTTCATGTTCATAGAAATTTTTGTTTTCCAGTTGATATTGCCAATAACTCTTTATAAGTAAAAAATTCAAAGTAAGAGGGTGTGGATTGACTGTTTCTGTTAAACTCTCTTAGTTAGTTGGTAATGATTTTGTCATTTTTTTTCTTTTTGCAGCCAGCTAATGCGCTTTTTGGACAACTTTTTATAGCTCAGGTGAGTGGAATTCGATCTTGGGGCCTTTTTTCCTTGGATTTAGATCAAAATTGTTTGATTAACGACTAGAATGTCATGTTTGCTTTGCTAAGCATGCTATCTACATAATTTATTCAATGCTTAGGGTTAAATTCTAGGCTGTTAATGGTTGAAGTAGTTAAATTTCAAACCATGTAAGGTTTGTGAACCATTAAATGAAAATATTGAATTCTTGAAAGGGCTGTGAAATCAAAAGGGTCTTACTCAGAAAGGAGAGGAAAACTTGTGATATTAATCTACATATCATCTTGCTTCATGTAACTATAGACTTTTATTTTAATGTAAAAAAAAGCAAGGAAAAAATGGTGGGTTGTATATTTCATTTACAACTGTTAATAATGTTGAAAAATATGGAGAATAAGTTCAATAATTTTCTCTGAATCATTCTCATGTTATTACCATGAGGTTGTTTTAATTATATTCTTCATTTGGCGGACGCTTGTTTTCACTAAATTTTTGTTAGATGAAGGAAGAACGAAATAAGGAGGCTACTTTTCTTATTTCAGCCTTCAAGGTATGTGCAAGAGTTATTGTTTCAGTGTTTTTGTTCTCTCTTTGCTTTCTTTTTTTTTTTCAAATTTATTTAGCAGTTTATTCTTTGCACAACTATTGATGGATTTTGGGTAAGTCATTGGAGGCTGTTTATGGATTTCAAGGTGAAGAAGTGGATAAAGAATCTAAACTGACACCTTATGGTGAAAAAATTAGTCGAGGTATGTGGTGATGGAAATATCACAATTAGCCTGGCACTATTGTCTTTGAGCTACTGGAAGATGATCAATGTGGTTCTTTACAAACTAAAATTGAAGGATATAACAGTCCAGATGCCAAGTCAAACCCTTTACAAGACCCTCGGACTAGCTTTGGATTCGGAACGCAAGTCATGGTTTTCTTTTGAATTGATGTAGTTCAGAATTTGAGTTAAATAGGTACTTATTTACCTTATGCTATTCTCGGTTACTTGTTACTTTTTCTAAAGAAACTTAACTGATACAAATTCCTCAATTTATTCGACCAAAAAAATTTTTGCTTTTGTTTTTAATTGGACCTATAATACAAATTTCCGAATTTAATCGAGATCTAAGAATTGTTACATTGCAACCCTGTTTCTATTTCAAAAAGGCATATTTGTGGAAGCCTTATGGAATTGTATTAATAATTTCTGCATTAAAAGCTTTCAGTTGATCTTGACTTTACTGATTGGTCCAAGATTGCATGTAATGATCTTATGCCTTTTCTTAATGAAGATGACGTAATCCATGGGAACTTCAACTTGCTATTTCATTGATAGTTTAAATAGTTCATATCAAGTTGGTCGGTGGCTTACATTTTTTCTTGGTTTTAAGTATTCCTGTTAGCTTGATTTTTTCTTGAATTCCAAGTCATTTTGTCCGCTCATTGCCTTTCTATCAAATGATGGAAACCACATGGATGACTTGATTGCGCTTGTTTCCAAATAATGTATAGGTATTACTGTCATTCTTGATGAATAGCAAGTTTTCGCCTAAATTCAACGTCTCTTGGTTGAGGACTGCATGTGTTGAACCCTCTTAGGATCATTTGCTTTCATCCCTCAAATTTCTAAATCCCTTTGCATTTCCTTCGCTCGTTGTTTTTTGAATAATCACTTGTTGCTATCAATCATATAGTGCTTACTGAATTTGCTTTTGAAATTTTGGGAAGAAAAGTGAGAAAGTTGATGAACTGCTTGAGTTGGCTGGCTACTACAAGACTTTTCTCATGAATTCTTATCAAGAAGCAAGGTATGGTTTTGCAACCACAAACAGTGTGGATATGAACTATTTTACTATTTGCTATCATTTATCTTTCCCTGGTATAGTGATCAATAATTGTGAGATCGATTGGCCTCTTTACTTAATCAATAATTTCTTTTTCATATTTGTTTCCCATGGAAATGTTAGTTCTTTCATTTTTATTTCTCAAATTTCAATATTTTTGGCTTCAAAACTTATCACATATTTCGTTCCTATTTTTACATGGTGTCATTCTTAATTTTGTCTAATGTGTAAAGTTTTGGTTTCAGCATACAAGAGCTTAATTTACAGTTGATTTTGACACATACAAGGCCATGGCAATAAAGAACGTCATCACCATTGCATGTGCATATCAAGCATAGCTACCAGCAAATTGCATATTTTATAGCGGAGAAAGTAGTTTTTATTTGCTTCTTGCTGGGCCAATTCTAACTCAATTTATACTGTAATATTATATTCCTTTTAGTTCCATCAGAGTAGTTCATTTATGACTCTATCTAGATTATATCTTTAATGATACATAAAATTCATATGGCTTAAACATAAAATTGCATTACCTCTTGTGCAGGATAAAAACATGGCAGTAGGAGATTATTCGAATAAGCTCTGGGAAGAGGAAGACAAATAAACTCTTGAACGATATTCGGCATTGTAAAGAGATTGAGAAATGCAAGCTTGAGCCATATTTAGTAAATACTTAGTATCCAATCATGCATACAACTTGTAATAATTTATAGAAGTTTTTTTTTAACTGTATTCTTGATTAATATAGTTGGCCTTGATTCAACATATTTGGCCAATATAGTTTTATAACTTATTTTAGTCATTACTCCTAATTATGGATTATCTATTTTGTTTTAAAAAAAACTATTATAATGGGCTTTACACTGGGCATACTACCTATTAATTTCACACCGCGCATTCGCGCGGTGATCCCCTCCTAGTTTGTAAAAAAATGGTCCCAGGATTCTAAGGAGGATTAATTTTTGATGGACCCCGAGGCACAATAACTTTGAATGGACTGATCCTACGACTCTGTGGAAGCACAATAAGCAGAATACTTGCACCTAGTAGCATGATAGACTCTCACTCTTTACGCTTCTCACCGTCTATATAAGAACCTACTGGGTATTAGTCCAAGCCATTTCAAATCAAAGGCAAACTTTTGGAAGACAGAGAAGGAATCATGGCAGTCAACAAGATTGGTGCAATGGCTATTCTTTTTTGTGGTATGTACAATTTTATTCTTTGGTATACCTGTTGCAATGGTTAAACCTGTTGGGGCAGTTTCAAAAAATAAAAAGAGAACTATTCATCCCATCTATATATATATATATCGAAACCTATTCATCCCATCTCTCAATTGATTTTCACATGATTTAAAATGATGATTTTGGTACTGAAAACAGGGATGATCCTTCTGGGAGCAAATGTGGAGGTCACGGCCGTCAGGCCTGGGCCGGAGCAGCAGATTTGCCCAACCTTATGCATATTGGGGATCGAGTACGTGGACTGTGATGGAGAGAAGACCTACGACGACTGCACCAATTGCTGCTTCTACCAGGCTGCACTTTTCACTATACTGATGGAACTAAAGAGTATTGTACTTGGCCGCCTATGCAAAAATTGGGGTTTGGTAAAGGAGTTTACAAGATATAGTACTCTAAACGAGTACTAAATAATGGGTATAATACATGCCCTTAATTACACAACTCATTTATGTTTTCCTTCCTTTCGGCTATACTAAGCTTCCAAATCTACTGCGTTATATACCAAACTGCAGTGTAAGGATCGATTGGTTAGTGTAAAAATGATGTTCCAACTTTATGAAGAAAAAATATCTAGCTCTAATGGCTCCAATTGTGCGAACATTAAACATATGGATCCCACTCAACTACAGTAATACTTGTAGACAACGTTGTTTTATCAGAGAGGCCCTACGGTTTCAAATAATTGACCAAGTAGCAGTAATATACTTTTCCTAATAAACATCCAGAAAGCATAAAGTACAGAATTACCCGGCAGCACTTGGGGAGATCATGGTGCCCTCCGTGATGAGAAAGCCACCATTGGTTGCTCTTTGGGCGTAGTACTCCGCCATGGCAGGCTGAGGAATGCTATTTATGGCCCTGCATCTTGTCATCGGCGCCAGAACCACCCTGCCATCATATATATAAATGGGGTAGCCCCAGAAAAACAGAATATGTCATTAGTCATGCAAAGGGACAAATTAGTGTAAGAGAAAAATGAAGACAAAATTGGCAGCCCAAAAATGAAATTCTGCAGCTCCAGTATATTAGCACTCCTACTAATAGAGTACTTACTATATATCTCAAGCTCAAGAATTCAGCTTTAGAGCTCAATTATCTAGTCATGCTAGTCATGGCAGTCCAAAAATTTAATGAAATTCAACAGACTTCACAGCTATTTTATTGAGTTTGGTACATGCTTATATTGAATACTCAAACTAAAATTATATAGAGGAACATGAAGGATAAGATTGTATTCAAGCAAAAAGAAGAGAAGCTCCCGTTACCAAATTCAAACCCATTAATATATTTGTGGAGTCTCTCACTGTTTAGTTAAAGAATCTAGTAGACATCAAGAAAGTTAAGTAGTACTTGATCACACAATTCAGTTACTAAGAGAACCATCTAAATATTGTGTTCGATGCAATAGTGATTATTAAGCATGTCTAAAAAATCCCAATGAATTGCAAGTGCTCCGTTGCATTACTAAGATGAAGTGGTTTATTCATTCACATGGTGTAAACTTTAAAAACAAAAAGTTTAATCTAAACTTAATTTTAGAAACCAAATGAATTGATCAAATGAACATTAAGGATCCCTTATATGTATTTCAATTTAACTTCCCATGTAAATAGCAGTACATTTGACTAGACGACATCAAAAATCAAACATACATTATATGGTGAACGACAAATACAAGCAAAAAAGTAAAATGAATATCAAGAAAAATACATATCCGCTTAATACACGACATTACTTCCTATAATTTCTCACAAGCTTTGTTATTGAAAGCACCCTACAAATTCCTTCGTCCTACACGAAATGAAATTTGGTGATAATTATGGAGAAACTAGACACAGTGTTTGATCAGACTGAAGTTGATATATTCGCATCTAGCGCATAAAGCGCAACTTCCGCCAGTATAAGTTAAAGTTGACTCACAGTTGTCATCAAACCGTCACCTTCGGCTTCAGCTGGTAGGACCTTGAGGCTTCCGCCTTTGCTATTGCTTCTCTACAGCAATTGTATTGATAAACGTGTACGTGATTTCATTTTTCGCTCATGTATTATTTGGTGCATCCAAAAGAGATCTGTATGTTAATGGTTGAGGTTTCGATCATTTGACATTTCTAATGTCCCTGTAGTGCATGAGAGTTTCTATGTCTTCACACAAAAATTTTCAAAAGTAAAGAGTTGTTACGAGCAAAATTTGATGAGATTTAGCAATTGACGATTAAATAAAATTAAGCTTCATAGTGGTGATTAGGTCTCAATAGTTCTTGAACTCTGAAGTCAATGTGTCCGGGCATGTTTAGTGTATTTGTGGGCTGTGGTAAAATGAGAAGTGGAGATTTGTTGGGCAAGACAAGTAACAACTGCAAAATTAAGCGGCATTTGTATATTTTTGTTAAAAATTCGGGTTGAGGAAGTCTAATATTCATGAGTATATAATCGAGAACTAATAACATTATGGTGGGATATAAAAGGATTTTTGGAATCTTAGAAGGGGCAAAGTCTATTGAAATGGAGTTTTCTTTTTCTAAGTATAAGTAAGAGATCTCGAATGTAAAACCTTCCACTTACACTCATTCCCATCATATCACCTAGCCTATTCCTCCCTCCCTAAAATTAAGGGTCCGTTTGGATCCCTTGTTTTTGGGGCAATTTTTGAAAAACTGTTTTTCACATTCAAAATGCTACAGTAAATGTGTATTTCCAAAACAACTCCAAAAACACCATATCCAAACATTATATCAAAAACAACTACATATGTATATTTCAATTATGTATATTATATATTTTTTTTATTAATATAAATTGAAATATACAAATTAAAAATTTTATATATTATATAAATATTTATATACATTAATATTATACATAATATGGTATATTGTACATAATATAATATACATAATATGTAATATTGTAAACATAAATGTGTAAATATTTATACATAATATATTATGTACATTTTATTATAATATATACATTATTAATGTATAATATTATTATGTACATTATTGTGCATAATAATGCATAATAATTTTATGTATAATATATAATATACTTAATATGTAACAATGTAATAATGTATATTATGTACAATATATTATATTATGTATATTATATTATATATACAATATTATGTATATTATATAAATTGAAAATTATATATTATATATTATATAAATATTTATATAATGAAATATACAATAAATATTACAAATTGAAATATTATATAAACAAAATATTTATATTATTATAATATTTGTAATTAATATTAATGCATATTATATATATTAAATATTTATATATTTATTTATACATTTTATAAATATTTTATTTTATTTAAAAAATATTTTTATATATTTATAATATATTTATATGATTATTATATATTATATATATTATATATAATATAATATTATATATATAAATTATATATATAATATTATATTATATATTTATATGAATGTACATTTATACATAATATATATTAATGCATATTTATAATATACATTTATATTATGTATTATATATAATATAATACATGTATAATACATTTATACATTTATATTAATATACATAATATTAATTTTACATTTATACATAATATTAATACATTTGTACATTTATATTAATTATATTAATACATTTATACATAATATTAATATATATTAATAAAATTATAATTTATACATTTATATAATATTCATTTGTAATTTATACATTTATAATAATATACACTTATACATTTATAAATATATTTATATTATGTATTATATATAATATAATACATTTATAATACATTTATATATTTTTATATAAATACATAAATATATTTATTCATAAATATTTATAAATATGTTATAAATGCATAAATGTATATTTATATAAAAATATAAAAATTATAAATTTTAATTTATAATTTATACATTTATATAATATTCATTTATAATTTATACATTTACAATAATATACACTTATACATTTATAAATATATTTAT